CTCTCTTTAATTGCTTTGTTTTGGACGTGTAATTAATGAAAAGGAACTTGGAACGAATAAACTTAAACTTATATTCTCTCGCCGGAGCTATAGTTCATTGCGCAAGAGCATCGTTTGTCATTAAGAGAAGCATTATCATTTTGAGAGAAAAAATGCAATTTAAAAAATATATTATTTAGTATTTTTAGTATTTCTAGTAAACTTTTCCCGTCTTTATTATATTATGATCCAATAACGATTCAAATTATCGCAAAGTGTATATATATCTTTAATTGTATCGTTACAAATTCGAGCTTTCGGACATTAATTGATCCAAATTATACGAAATTTTCGTACAAAACATGTCTAAAGGAGACCATATTCCATGACAATAAAGATTAGAGGATTGGCAGATAAATGCTTAATAGTATGTGTGAAGCATATTATAATTTCCAGTGTAAACATGTACGTTTCTTTCCTTCCAAAATAATAATATTTCTTGCAAAACACGTAAACACGACGCTCTTGTGCGACAGATTGTACATAGTTGACCACCAGTTCTTTTGTATCGCGTGTATATTGTTCCCAAAGGTCCTCGCGTATTGTATTGTACTTACTGGTTATCATTGGATCAGATTGCGGAAAGAGAGAGAGAGGCAGAGAGAAAGACAGAGAGAAGTGAAAACAAGACGAGAGGGGAGAGAAGAAGGGTGGGCAGATGGGCAAATTACTCGGTCGCCGAGATCGGATAATTAATGTCGCGCGACTCTGTACTACACAAATATATGAACTGCTCGCGCGTTGCTTGCGAGGATCTCCCCTCGTGTACACAAACGTATACAGCCGATGTGTGTGCATTGCATATTCGTATGCGATAATTAACAAGGCAAATCGATCGTCCTCGCTGTCGTTTTCTCACCTTGTTACGTGTCTCGTACCAAGCCGATACCGTTTGCCAATAGGCACGAATTTATACGCCATTTACAGGATGTCTCTCGGGAAAGCCGTCTTGTCGACGTCTTGAAATACGATAGCGATCACGCGCGTTAAAATTCGTACTTATTCGAATTTTTTTTTTCTGTTTTTAATTATGACAGACATAGATCAATCGAGGCAGATAATTATGACAAAAGTCACTAGTTAAATTTACAACTCGTTCTCTCTCCTTTTCTGCTACCGATAATTATCTCGGCATGTAACTGGAATTTTTTATACACGTCATTTATCTAGCCTTGCTTTCAACGCTTCAATCAATTGACTGTCGCGGTCCCCGGAAACTTATACCTCTGCAAGCATTAGCTTCTCTTCACAGGATATACCCCGTATGTATATACCTGTATAAACAGGCCATCAATCAAATGTATCAATCGATATTAACCTGAGTTGGTTTCTGTATCTGATACAGCATAGGAGAACTTGAAGTTGATTGTAACGCTCTAACGATAATCCTGTATTTATAAGGCCAAACTACCAAAAAATTAATCACGAATCTTTCCTAGATCTGTATTCAGCTCCAATATCAAGCATAAAAAAACGATAGCGTAGGCATAAAAGCTGCTGATCGAATTATCTTGCAGGCTCGGAGCAAACTCGTTAAAGTTATTAAATTAACGGAACTTTTACTAGTTATCGCGGATAGTTATTACGACGATGAAGAAAGGAAGATCGATGGGAAAGAGAGACACGGCGAGATTCGCTCGCTCGAGGAAAGAAGTAATTCAGCGAACACTTTTTTTGTAACGTAAACCAAACCGTTTTCTTTCTGCATCTTACAAAAGTATCACATGGGTGGCCTTAATAAAGTAATGTTATTGGTGCAATAATAATTAAAATCACGCGACACAACGATTGATCGTATTATTCTCATCGATGTATGTACGTTTGTGATGAAAGTATCAAGAATCTCTACGTCTCGCTATCTCAGCGTTCCATCGCACTGATCGAAAATTGTCACCTTATCTCTAATCCTCTTCTCCTCCTCTTATCGCAATCAGATATCATCCACGATCGAATGGACGCTGTAGGCATTAGAAAAATAAATTATCATGAGCCTATAATGGATCTCTAATTGTAAGTATACAGAATACGAGCGCGCGATAGCGCACGGACGAATCAATCGCGCGAGTCAATTCGCGCAGCTGTGTGTGTGTGTGTGTGTGTGTGTAATAACGATTAAGCTTGCTCGCGCTAATATCTACGAGAGCGATAACCGGCGCCCCGCGATTTGCCGGCTCGCGCCAGCGTCGATAATCTCCGCTTATTGCTAGAAAATCACGATTGTAGGACGCGATGCTTCGTCGCGCAGCGATGACTAACAGGTGGACAAAATAAATGCAATATCGAACAGGGATAACAATATTGCGCGACATTGACGATAGAAATAGATATGTACTCTTGAAAATACTCAAATTGTCTGGAAATGTATGAGATATACATATTTTGTAATCTGTTCTCGTATCATCGAATTCATATTTATTGTAATAAAAAGTGTGTCATATTGACGGGGGCAAATAATTTTGCCGTTACGGCAAAACTACGTAGCTACTATTGCGTATTTCATATGAAAGCAATCACATTTCGCTAACATGACCGATTATTGGATATTGCAAAATTTGATTTGGGTCGAAAAATTTTGCCGAGTGAATTTGTTCATTGAAACGCGAATACGCTGCTGAAACGAGAAACGGTCTTTTCTACCTTCGGCAAATTTACTTGCAGCGAAATAATTATTATAATAGAAATAAAAATTTCTCTTTGCAGAGATTTAACAAAATTATAATCAGCGAACAAAATTAAGCGGGCTTAATAACAAAAAAAATCTGTCTGCTTTCTAGCAACTCGAAGATATACTCTTGTTATAACAATATAAATATAAAATATACTATTCCAGTAGATTCTATTTCACAGTGAAATATGATTCCTTTTATCAATGTATCGTATTAATTTTTGTAATCTTCGGCGAAACAATGGTTCACGCTCTAATCTCTGTCCGCGGGAATCTCTCATATTTATTGTTAGTCATCACTGTACGCCGTATATATCGTCCAGCGATTTTCTTCATCGCGTCTTTTTCGCTTATCGGCTTTGATTGCATATTAAACGTCGCCGGAGACTTAGCTACTGTTTTAGCGATGCTTCTCGAGTCAATAAGCTACTTCGATATTTTGCTCCTTCGGCATCGATACCATTCGATACTCTGTGGGAGCATTTCTACTTTATTCGCCTATCTACATATGATCGTTAACATCGACATTGTAAAAAAGTGAAACCGTCTATATATATGCATGTCATCTATGGAAAAATGTATATGTTACATGGAGCAAATGTGTTCTCTCACACACACAGATCAGATCTTCCAAAAATATATAGTTACTACGGATTTATATTTCCGATAACTCTTGGACCATTTTGTGCGACTGTAAGATAAACGGAGGAGATTAAAAATAAATATAAATTACAATTTAGATTCGCTCTCTTCCGGATGAGTCGCGCGTATTCGCTCCATGCGATCGTAGTAGCCGTTAAATGCGTGGATTTTAAATTCTTCGCCTCAATTCTGTCGAATATGGTAATCGGCTTCACACACATATACTCGTATGCTTAAAAACTTAAAAATATATAGAGGGTATCTCAAAACCACCGGATATCCTTTTAATAACAGGTTCTCTGACCAATTTGGACAATTTTTAATTAACCCAATTACATTTTTCAATACAATTAATTACAGGTGGAGTTTACACTTTAATAGAATTTTAATTTAAAATTTAATTAGTTACAAAGAGATATATGTATCATGGCAAAAAGTGTAAAAAATGATAATGTTTTTCGACATTTTCGTTAAGGAAAAATTGTTTCCAAATAGGCCAGAGATCTGTTACTAAAGGAACATTCGGTAATTTCAGGACACTCTGTATATGGCTGCGTGTATGTTAGGTACATGCTTTAAATGCAGAGGATATGTGCCTACGAACCGCTCCTCTCTCAATCGCTTACCAAGTTTGCATCGGCGAACAATCGATCGACGGTTGAAACGTAACTCGATTGCGGGTTAATTAGCGCGTTTTTATGGGGAACATTAAACGAGCGCGCGTGACGATACGGGCGAGTTTACGATTGCGACCGTTCCGCGTCGATAACGGACCGGCTCGGTATTAATGTCAGACACGTGGAGCACAGCTGTTTCACGCTGAATCGCGATCTTAACGGTAGACGCATTCAACTGGAAATTATCCCGTTTTCCACAGAACGCAATCTTCTCGTAAAACGCAAACTCGGTTGTATTGTGCGGAAAAGCTCGCATCCGCGTTATTTCCTCGACGATATATATATATATAGAGATAGAGCGATTGAGAGTCCATTTCTTCTGGCTCAGAAATAAAGTTATATCTAACTATTTGCTCCCTGTGTATGTGTATGTGTTATTAAATAATTGATCCTATTGACACTTTCGAGAAATGTCGATCAACGATACTCATTGCTTCTCAGATTGCTTAATTGTGGCTTATTTTGCTTCCTGTCTCATTATCTTCTAAACTGCCTTGTAAATCGTGATGTTAAGTTAGAAGTTGAAAAAAAGACAGCAAAGTTTCATAACAAAATACGTTACGTTGCGGTCAAAAAGATGTCTTTATAAACTATAATTATTGTTCCTAATCTTTGTATTTTTAAATAAATTAGTTTTAATAATATATATATATATATATTATAAAGTAATATCTTAAGTAAAATATTAGCGCAAAGTCACTCATTTGATAAATATATCAAATTTTCACTTTATATATACAATATTTCTATATTTCGCGCAAACGCAAAAACTTACAAAATATTTTTTCGCAAAATATTGCTTTTTTCCTTCAGTTATTCTATAAACTATAAACAAATAACGAATCCATCTAATCCAAATCTAATGAAATCTGGCGCGGCATCAAACTCGGCAAAAATCCTCTCTCTTTTAGAGTTAAATGTGATATAATTTTCCCGCTCTTCGTTTAAAATATAACGCAATAAAACAAAAATCTTTATATGTACCTTTAATTGAAAGAGATATATCTCTTAACACTTTTTTCCATCCTACAATTCTGCTCATAATATGTCAGTTTTCTTAGAAAATATCGCGAATTTGTGATACGAAATGCATATTTAATACGATCGGTTCTTGCGATCGGACATTGCGACGACGCTTTACACATCGTTGTTTACACGAGCAGCTTGTACATACGTGAAAACGATTAAAAAACGATTTACATTACGTTATCGTGTATTCTATAATATTATAGTAATACTGAAGGACGATTGAAGCGACGCTATCATAAATCTCGACTCGTTTGCGACTGGTGCTCGTGCTGGCGAAACAACAACAACAGCAACAACAAGGTTTCCTTTATCTAATGCCTATCACTCTACTCGTGTATAATAATATAATCGCGATCATCGATCGCGCATTTATAAAATTCTCTGAAAGCCCTTTTCGAACAACAACGTATTACATATGTATGTGTCGTCAACATATGTATATGTGTATGTTGCGTGTAGGTACGTATAGATAATATATGTATCTCTCTCTCTCTCTCTCTCTCTCTCTCTCTCTGCTTTTTCAACAACATGCGGTAAAATATTGCGATGTCGCTAGAAAGCCAACAATCATATGGACGGTAGCGAACGCAATCAATTGGAACAGGTTTTGCTGGAACGAAGGCCCGTCACGTTGCCTGCGAGAGTAATCGTAAACAGAACCGACTTTCTTCTTTGCAGAAAGATTCCCGAATCCGGGATACCTTGTCGATATCTGATACAATCTCGCTCCTTTTGTACAAGAGCTTGTCTACGTCTTGTATATTCTCTCACTTTCTCTCACGCCGGTGCCGTAAATTCTAAATATCGAAAAATATTCTCTCTACTCTGGGTAATCAATTGTCTCAAAACTACCACAAGCTACGATCGCGCGGTCGATTATGTACATATGTAGATTAATTTTTTTTCGTTCTCATTAATCCTTCGGCTGATTCTATATCGCGTAATGCGTAATTAACCCGCGGGTAGTATACTCTTTTTCATAACCGATTAATTAGTCGGTAACGGATTCGCGCGTTATCTTCGTGGGAGGGGTTGTTGCAGCACGCACACGCAGGGATCGTTAACAAGCGCCGTTATTAGCGCGATTGAACGGCGCCGTAAAAGCGCGAGAGTAAGCTGTCGCACTTAATTACAAGCAATTATCGCCGTAACCGATAAAGCCCCAAAGGATTAATCCCCCCTCTCGAATGCGTCAATCTTTCCAATTTATTTCTTCATCTCACAGATCGATCGTTACGCGAGCTGCATAAACTCAATGCTCGGGCTCCGTAATACGTCTAAATGACAGATTGTCAGCGATAGAGATTTCTCATTTCTCATAATTTCTCCGATCAAGATGAATGTTAATTTCAAATCGTAAAGTCAACTCACTTATTACTTATGAAACGCACGAATGTGTGCGCAAACTGTATATCTACGGAGAGATTTTCCTCCCGTTTCTCCTCCCATCCTCGACAAAAGCACTTTCTCTCGCCAGATATAAGTAACAATTGTATAACAATTTGTACAGGTCAAAATTCATCAACAATTTCCAGCATTATGCGATATGCGCGTTTGATGTGTCAACGTTTCTGTCACTGGCACGAATCAAGTTCGAATCGTGCCGATCGCGTGCCATCACCCGATCACGCCCGATCACGTAAATCATCATTTACATCTGAACTAGTTTCATCCGAACGAACGCTAGACTGGATTGCCCGCTGGTGTCCCGAATTCGAAACATTAGCAGACGCATCTTATTAGTACAGAAATTATACATTTTTGCCGGAAGCTTCTCCCTTTTTTTAATCGAGGACGTCTTCGAATCGAGGCTGCACGCGCAATGAGTTAATAATTTATTTCTCGTCGAATAAAGAGAGCGCGACAACCAGCCGGGATTTTCGAAAACGGTTCGCCGATCATCCGCCGGACGATTTTCTATTCCATCAAGCTCGAGAGCGAACCGAGCTTCTCCCGATGCTACGTCATCGTCGAGGGATGCGTTTCCGGTGGTGCCGGCAGCTGAGGCGTCTGCCGATTCGAGAGCCGTCGCGGCCAACGTTGCGGCGAGACCGGCGGCGTGTTCGGTGCGGAACAGGCGGTCAATCGCCAATTACTGCTGGAGAATACACTCGATCTACCCACGGCAGAAAGATTGGTGTTGCTGCTGCTGCTGCAAGCAACCGCCGCCGAGAGGTCCACCCGCGATACAGCCCTGTGTGCATCGATTAATTTCCTTTCAACATCTTAATCATCAAAATCCAATCTTTATTCGAATCGGAAGAAAATCACATGTGCTTATTTGAGGAATAAAAATATATAGTTAAAATATCTCCCGCACACAAATAGCTTCGATAAAATAATTTCAAGTAGATATGAAAGAAGACGAGGGGAAAACTTTTTCACGTCACAAGTCCAGGCCGACTTACCTGGAAGGCGGAGCGGAACCTCCGGTGTAAGAATGCAATCCTGCCGGACCACTTCTTGGTCTTGACGTCGACACAACGCTCGTTGATCTGTGCAAGGCCGGCGAGGGTGGCGCTGATGGTAGCATTCGTGGTGTCTGCGGGGGCGTCCGGCCGGACGATACGCTTCCGAGGCTGCTGGTAGAGGACTTTCTTCTCACAGTCCTGCAATCAGTCATCATAAGTATAAACAGAAAATTCCGTTATATTGGTAAGATACTGCGAGAAAGCGAGAAAGACAATTCTATACAAAATAAAATATATTCGAAATTATAAATATGTACCACATTAAGATGCGCTTGGGAGAGGAAGATACTTTGAACATTTATTCCAATTACTCCAGCAAAGGATTTTCGATATGCAAATATTATTTTGTTTCGCAAATTAGGATGCTATTGATCCATTAATTTATTCTTTATCCTTTATCGCAATATAATAAGAAATTTGCTACACAGAATATCTGAATTATTGTATGTACGGCCAATATACCAATATAACTGTGAATTTGTTTTACTCAAGGATCTCTGCCAAAGATCTTTCCTCTCTTCAATTGACTTTACTTTTTAATGTATTCGATATAACTTTTTGCACAAAGTACTTTTATTTCAATACAATTGAATGTCGTTCAAAGCCAAATCGACCTTTATAGCCGAGGATTTCAACGCAATTACCTTTTAGTAGCTTGACGACAGAGGCCAGTCGGACAAGTGCGTCCCATGGCGCATTTGCCCTCGCATACCTCTTTTGCTAGAGCCAGTGTTTCGTAATTTCTCAAGATGGACCTGCAAGCCTCTGCGTCTGACTCGGCGAGAGCAAGACTGGGAAACCGCTCCTTTAACCTGCGACGCTCCTACGTTAAATAGTAAAATTTTTTGATTCTTTTTGATAATTTTAAATATATATTATCAGTTATAACAATTTTTATAAAAATTATAAAATATATAATATATCGAAGAAAAATAAAAAATAAAAAGACAGTGAATTGGATATGTATGTCCTGAAAGGAACAGAAAAAAAGCGAGCAAAGATAGAAAAGATAAAAAAGCCAAGTGATCATCTTGGTATCACTTACATCTTGTAAGCGACTGGATTCAAAGTCCTTGAGCTGCTGTTGAAAACCGACATTCGGATTCGCAATAGAACGACCCACTCTAACGACTTTGAGCGCTTCTTTCCAGGACAAATTGGTAGTGCTCATAATGTAGGCCACCGCCACCGTCACGCTTCTTGACATTCCTGCCAGACTGGAAACAAGTTATTTTTATTCACAAAAATTCATAATTTCAATCTTTATTTCTATGAATTGCTTGTCAAATAAATAATATACTTTTGTTATATGTCATCTCTCTCTTCCATCGCTTTTTTCAGTTTTTAATCTTCTCCTTTTTGATTGTTATAATTACTCGTTTTATATTATTCATCCATAATTTATTTTATTAATTTATTTTATTTTATTTAACTAATAATTAAATTTTATTAGTTATTTTCATTTTATTTATTTATAATTTGGTTAATTATAAATGGTTTTCAATAATTGAAGAAGAATAGATTTCAAATCGGCTAATAAATTTGTAGTCAAAAGGGCATCTGGTGATTTTGACACGCTGTATTATGAACGCTAATATAGCGAATATCTACCAATGAATCAGAACATTTCCGCCGCGAAGACGGGCGGCATGGATGAAGTCGTTGCACAAAGAGAAGTATTGCGATAAATTCTGATCAGGACTGTCGGCTGCCAAGATGCACAGGTAATGCTTATCCTGAAATGCAATCGAAATTTAATCCAGATATTAAGCCATATTTTCTCGCCGTAGAGATCCTATTTCGAACCAGTTATACCTATCTAATGACAAATCAACCCATTTCGAATCGATAAATTTTGTTTATATTTTCTTATTGTTAAGCTGATCTTATTATCGATACAATTCAAATTTTCTTCGCGCTATTCATACCTTGACTTTTATTGCAAATCAAATATTAAGTGATGATTGCTATAATGACGAAGGAAATGCATTGGTATTATAAAGCTGCTGATAATTTTGATGCGTAAGAAAAACGAATCGCGTTAGACAAGTTAGATACACTATTTCGATTCTGACAATCATATTTTACAAATTTTATTGCAAAATTTCACAAGCGCTTGGAGGAAGATATACCGATCGTAATTTAAACGTTACATTAAGAAAAATGACAAGGGGAATAGGGAAGAAATAAAAAAGGAAAACTTGGAGAGAAGGGACATTTTAAATATAAATTTATTTATATAAAAAAAAATTATTAAAGAATTTAAAAATTGGATTGGATTTTAAATTGTATAAAGAAGATTAAAAATAACAGACTAAGAAAAATGACAGGGGAAATGGAAGAAAAATAACAAAGGAAAAGTTGAGAGAGAGAGAGAGAGAGAGAGAGAGAGAGGGAGAGAGATGAGTAGGGGGACATTTTTAAATATAATAACTATAGGAAATAGATAATCGGTTATTCCTTGGAAAAATTAAAAGCGAAGCTTAACTGAAGCTGTTATAAGCCTCATGTTTCTCTCATTATGTAATACAAGTTTATATTTTTTCTTTAGTTACAATCCGAACTTTTCACGTGACAGGTTTCTCATGGAAATAATTTTCCGTTGATCGCTATTTTAAAATTTAGTTCGAAATAGGTGCTTTAACACATTTTTGCCATGTTATATTTTCCGTACTTACGGAATGTAGACGACGGGCCGTGTCGTGAATAGCCAGAATATGCGTGATCTCGAAACGCTCCAATTGATCGGCATCCTTGCTGTCCTGATAATTACCTATGTAAAGACCAGGAAGTACCTGTCGACATAATAAATGGTAATGGGAGGTATTACAAAGTCCACACACATTTCGTAGCGCATCTTTAATTAATATTCAATTCGCAATATACAATAAGTAATCAGGATATGGTATAAAATATCGCGTTTCTCTCAAATCTCGGATCTTGAAAATACAAGCCGAGAGACGTCGTGATATTCTCCTCGTTCGTCTCACCCCGGCTCTCATTCAAAATGCCGCGCCTCTTTCGGCATCTATTTGGCGAAGGATTACTTACGATTAGACGATAAGGAAATCAATGTCAGTTGGTGGGAGAAATGCAAATCCATGAATTGAATTCGCGATGCGCTGCGACTGGCGTCGCAATCTTAGATTAATTTACCGTTTGACAAATATTGAATCTTGATGAAAGGTAGGTCTCGCTTTCAAGCGAGACGCGCGGGAGTGGGGAAAAAGGGGGGACTGCATACATTAACTTAAATGCCATTTTTCATTCGACCATTCTTTCGATCAATATTGATTCGGTCTTTAATGAAGCTTCGATAGAAAATGCCGAGAGAGCTCTTTCTTCTCTTTCTCTCGCGCGTTAAATAAAATATACACATCAACGCTCGAGTGACGCAGACGAATTAAGACACATTGTGAAAAACGATCCCGCGGGACGATCTCTTCAATGGTCCGCGCGTATATGACGTTTATTTTAATTATCGTAATCTCGAGAATATCCATTCTCTGGCGACATACCGGTCGTTAGTCTCAGTTCTCGCGATTGGATTTCATTCGAATCGTTCTTATTGCGATTACCCCCTCGCACCGAGTTTGCTCCCCCCTCTGCGCGCACATCGATTTTATTGTTAGATGAGAAGAAACGAGAAGAGCCAGCTCGGGGCTCGACGAGACCGCGGCGAGCAGTTATCGTCTACCGTCTCGTGATCGATCGATCGCAAACGAGAGAGAAAAAAAAAGGAGGGCGACGATATACTCTCGAAGAGCAAAACGAGTGGTAGTAAACACACAACTCTCTATCGCGTCGTTGGCGACCGATATGCGATTTCGATCATTTGTGGTTTCCTGGTATGTTTGCGCGATTCACGGTGGCGTGCAAACGTTAACCGCCGCGTCGGGACATCGATCGCTCGACGAGACATCATCGCGTACATTCACTCGTGATCCATTCGGAGACGTCAAGATCCTCCTTCCCAACGTCCTCCTCGAGCGTTCCCCGAGGAGTATCCCGGGGTCGCTCTTTCCGGTATCTTCAAGTCGGTCGAGGACGGACGATCGCGAGAATATTGCCGATAGTTTCGTTTTAAAGCGTGGTTCGACGCGTCGTAAACGAAGAAAGAAATGCAATCATCGAAAGCAGGACGCTCGAAGAAGGATAAGACCAAGAAGAGTGAAGCTCGCGGACGACGAAATCATCGAAGAATCCAAGAGTTCGATGAAATCGTCTCGTATCGTGAAAAGCCCGTCCACTACCGTCGACGTCACCACAAATATTTCCACGAGTACTCTAAATCCCACGCTGGAATTAACGACGGAATCTTCAACAATACAGCCTTTCGTAGATATCACCGATACAACTACCGACGCCGTTCCGTCGACGACGATCGCTGCGAAAGTTATTGACGAAACGACCCGCGGAAAAAATTACCAGCAAAGTCTTCTTCGTAAGAAATGTAAGAAGAGGACCAAATGTGCAACAGGAGACTGTAAAGAAGGAAAAAAGAAGAAGGCTATCGATATACTCGGAAACGAATTGTTTTCCATCTGATTTCGGAGAGCCGAGTGTCTCGCAAACACAATCGAGTTCATCGGAGGACGTGGACCTCTAGCTCATCGCATCGATTAGGACTGTAAGATGGATAGCGACAAGATAATCACGACCCGTGCGAGCATGATATATAATGTTGCTTTGATATATATATATATAAGAGTATATAAGAGAATTTTCATAACAGGAAATTTTGAGAGAGATATTGAGAGACGTATTATTCAACGAAACATTTCAAAGAAGATATATCGTATAAATATAGAGATTCCGTTTCGCATAGTTAAACTTTGTAAAGAAATACATCGAGTGTAAAATTTTGAGACATTTATCCATTATAAACGTTATGTTTTGTTTTTCTTTCAAAAAAGCTTGATGCATTAAATTCGTATATTACACCATTAACAAAATTTGATTTCTCGTGGAAGACTATGTAACTTATTAAAACTTATTACTATATGATACATATTTTTTATTTAAAATGGCTAACGAGTTGCCGAAGCTTTTCACATCCTGTTGACAATTTTTGTACAAAAATAGAATAGGTAGGATTAATTAAATCGATGATATTGCTCGAGAAAAAAATATGCTAATGAGAATATGTGAACTGATTACTCATTTGACGATCTGCAAAATGTATCGTATTTTATAATTAAGATTAGCGTAACTCAAGTTTTCCACCGCGATTTCAGTTTTGTCTCTTCTGTTCCGTCTTACAGCTTCCGTTTTACTAGCGCGCGTTGCTACTATATAAAATTTTATTATCAAGCGTATTATCGGCCGTTAAGCGAGGTTACGATAACGTCAGATAAGTTCAATCAACATTATATTGAAATGCATTTAAACAAGTTGTCAGATGGTAAAAGCGCCAAGTTGGAATAAAACGTATTGTCGTGCTATAAAGACTCCTTCACGTTTGCAGCGAACAAAAGACATTTTTATCAAAAATTTACTGACCGTTATCAAATAATACTTTAAACTCAGAGCAATAAAAATCAAATATATATATACATACATGGCAATAATTAATTTTTTATAAAACAAATTGATCTTAAAATAGTTTAATCAGAATTATTTTTGCTATTCAATCAAAAAAAATTTTAATTAAACCAATATACATATATATATACATATATTTCCATCCAACTCTTTGATCGCTTGCTTTATTTCGTCTTACAGAAATTTTTATCATCGTTTCATATCGTCTTAAAGAAATTTAAATCATTAAATTTGTTAAGACAAGGCTTTTTCATTCTTTTGAGTTAAAAAGAAGCCGGTAAGAGATGATAGTAATAAACAATGCTAAAGACTCTCAAATATTTAATCAACAGATAAGAGGAAATGCTAATAGGTGTATAAATTATAAAAAACATGTGTATATACAGGGCGTCGATTGTAACGATCCGCACGATTTTAAAGGCGATAAGCTAGATAAAAGTTTTTTTTATAAAGAATTCAAAATTATTTTGAGTTATTTAAATAATATTGATATTTTCTATAATATTATGAAAAAAAAAACTATATGGTTCTATTTAAAAAAAAAAAGCTTTGGTAATCTTAAACTTTTTAAACTATAAATCGTAGTTTGCATAAATTTTTGTCTCACATTTTCTCTCAGATAATCTGGAGTACCCCTAAATTTTGCGGATTATTACAATATATATAAACACCCTCTATAATCTTATCAAATCAATTATACAAAAAACGCCAAGTAAGTGCAAATTAAATATTAAACGTTTCATTTTAAATTTGTTGTCTGCGTTTACTAAAATTCTGTTTCCTCGTTTGTTATCTCGATAATTTATTACTGTAGTATATAAATTATACAATTAGCGACATAAATTTATTCATATTTGCGATAACAAGCAATGAGTGAAATTATTCCGTATTTTTGTCTCCTTCTTGTAATCGTGTTTTTTTCTCGAGGACGACAATCAACGTGACTTGCGAGGGAACATTTATATATTCGCGAATGTTTTTCTGCGAATGTCTTTTTATTGAACTCTTGTGTAGCCGTCCCAACAGGTCCCAACGGGAGAGGTTCTATTCATACACATGAATTACTTTGGTTTCCTTTGGGCGGGCGCAAGAAAATACACGACGTTTTAGGCGAACTTTTGATAGAGCGATACGTCGCAAAAAACAAAATCATCTTTTTCTAGGAGGTCACCCGCAATCGCGACTCGCGTCGGTCCTGTGAGAGAAAGAAAATTCTCGATTATAAAAAGACGAGATACCGTGCAAATAGAAGGAATAAAAGGAATTTGTCTTGGATATCGATTAGCGATACGCGGCACAATTGCCTCGCTCGAAAGAGGAAACGCGCGCTTGTTCTTTCGAGAAAATGGGACAAGTTATTGATAAATTGTCGTCATCAGCATCCTAAGTATATGTGTTATATGTATACGATCTCATTGTCAGTAGCCGCCTTAAAAATCGAACCGATTCAAATGCTTGAGATGTCTCGAAGACACTCCTCATTATTACATATTGAGACAACTGATAAAAGTAGCAATAAATTCCAACAAAGAGAAAATAAAACACGTTATTTCAAAAAACGAATGCAGTCTTCACAGTCTCTGGGTTTAAAAAACGTGCCGTTTATCGATTGTTTTAAAATCAATAAGATAGATTATAAGGACTCGGTTACCTTGCAGTACGTTAACCTACTTTGTTAGCAGGTTATAGTCGGCCGTATTAATCGTGTCTAATGAATTTACATTTGATGGTTAAATTCGTTAAATTTAGAAAGTATACCTGTTTGTGTTATTTAATTGCATGATTCAATTATTTTATACTCGCAAAAAACAAAAAAAGATCGGTGAGTCGCGTGTCTTGAAATAACTCTAGCGAATGCAGAATTAGGCAGATAGTTAAGCAGACACTAGATATCATATTAAAATATTCCTGATTATATATCTACTTCCACTCTCTTACAATTTATTTACTTGTATAAAACATATATAAATCATTTAGATTATGTAAACAATAAAAAATATATGTTTTTTCGATAAAACAATACAAAAAATAATATTAATTTATACTTTTTTTTTCTTTCAATTTTGTACGAATTATTTGAACATTTATATATAACCACTTTTTTTATGTAAATACATTAAGATACTAATTTTTAAATTATAAGCAATTATAAAAATTAGAAACTTTTTTGTATATATCACAGATGATTATAATGTACGATTTTAAACGTATAATAAATTTTATAAGAATCAGGCAATTTCAAAATCAACATTTCTTTATAATAAAATTTTGATTTATCTGTTTTTTATTGAATTAATCTGTTTTTTATTGAATTAAATTGAAAAGA